TGTGTGTGTGTGTGTGTGTGTGTGTGTGTGTGTGTGTGTGTGTGTGTCGACCGTGGCTAAGTGGAGAGCAGGGCCGTCCTTCAATCAGTCGGCGGTTCGATCCCCGGCTCCGGCTCTGCTAGTCACATGTCGATGTGTCCTTGAGCAAGACACTTAACCCCAAAAATTGCTCCCGTAGCTGTTTCTCCGGTGTGATAGAATCTGAATTGTAAGTCGCTTTGGATAAAAGCTAAATGACTGTAATGTAATGTAAATAATGTGTGTGTTGTGAGCCTTCATATTGTCTGGCCCGATCTTGATGTTTCTCGGCTGGGAACACTTTTCATCTCAATTTTGTGACTTGATTGTATTGTATTGTTATTGAACTACTGTACTCTAACCTACTTCACTTTATTCTCACATGGTAGGGTGCTTTGACACATGTAGTTGTAATCTAATCAAGGTTGATCAAGTCGAATCTAATCTAGATCTGATTGAAAAGTATCTAATATAATTGATGTTAGTGTAGTTTTACTAGTCTAGTTTAGTTGAATGTAATATGGTCTAGTCTAGTTTAATTGAACACATTTGCTCGAGTGCCGAATCTAAGCAAACATCTGAACTAATATAATCTGGTTAAATCGAATCTAAAGTAATACATTATATCCTAGTTGAGTCGGGTTTAACTGAACCTAGTCTAGTCAATTGTAATCTAGTCTAGTCTGAATCTAATCTAATCTAAAATCTGATCTAATATAATGTGGTTAAATCTAGTCTAAATGAATCTAATACAATCTAGCACACTCTGGTCTAACTGAATCTAGTCTAGTGGATTGTAATCTAGTTTCTAGCCTTTAGTCTAGTCTGAATCTAACCTAATCTGATGTAATCTAATTTATGATCAAATATAATCTGGTTAAATCTAATCAAAATGAATATAATATGATCTGGTCCCAGTCTAACTGAATATATCTAGCAAAAGGTAATCTAGTCTAGTCAAGTTTTTTCTTTTTTTATTCAAAGCTAGTTTAGTCGAGTCTGAATCTCATCTCATAATGATATCATCTAATCTAGTAGAATCAATTTGTGTCTACTCTAGACTAGTACAATGTAATCTTGCCTAGTGTAGTTTAACCCATTTCTAATGAAATTGAATCTAATCTAATATTTTGGTTTGCACGGACAGTTTTTCAGTTCAGTAAAGTTTCCAGTGAGTTGAGGTAGGATGTGTGTGGAGGTCTTACCTCTGTGTTCCTACGCTTTGATCCAGGATGAGGTGGAGTTAATACTGAGCTCCTGCTGTAGCAGAGGCCCCTCCGGCTTGAACCACTCCTCTCCCAGGGAGGAAGGCACACTGCTGGACTCTGAGAGTGTGTGTGTGTGTGTGTGTGTGTGTGTGTGTGTGTGTGTGTGTGTG